CCTTGCATGCTCTGATAGCGTGCTGGAGGCTATTCAGAAAGAGCTTGAAATAAAGCCTGGGAGACTACACCTGACCAACTTTTCATTTCATAGAAGTGGGATGTTTGGGACCTGTGTAAACACGCAGATGGTTCAGGTAAATGGCAGCTGCTAACTCTTAAGGATATTGAAGAAATTATTGATAAGCTGAAAGCTGAAAAATTCCACAGCCTGGCCCAACAAGTGAATGTTTTGCTTGTAAGCCAGCTGGAGGTCTTAGCTCTTTGAACTACCTGAAGTATCTGGCTTTGGTGTGCAAGCAGCCTTTACGTTCTGCTATAAATATATCAATGGAGAAATAAATGTGAACCTCCCATGTACAAAAAGAAAGAAATCTGTTTACCCTCAAACGTACTTAAAGGAGAGTTACTGTCCATGTTAAGGGGCACCAATTTTCATTTTTACCTGCTATCCTTAGTAATGAGATAAAATGCAGTCTTGAGCCTGGGGCTATAGCTGAGTGGTAGAGCTAGTGATTCCCAACAGCTCAAAGGAAAAAAAAATTCAGTCTTCAGTTATTAACAAATAAATGATGGCCTAATAATTTCATATGCAATTTCTTTTTTTTTCCTTTTGTGGTTTTTTTTTTTTTAATTGTATTAAGAATCAAACTCACAGTCTTGTGCTTGGCAGGCAGGTGCTTATGCCACTGAGCTAAATCCCCAGCCCGAAGTTTTATTAGTTATGTCTTTTCTTTCTTTTTTTTTTTTTTTTTTTTTCTTTTTTGTTCTGGAGATGGAATTCATGATTTACACCTTTGCCAGACAGACATTTGTACCACTAAGCTATATCCCCAGCCAATGTGCAGTTTCATATCATGTTTCATCTTGTAAAATAATTTTTTAGACAGGGTTTCATTATGCAGTTCAGGCTGGCCTTGAGCTTACTTTGTAGCCTAGGCTGGCCTTGAACTCACAGCAATCCTCCTGCCTCAGCTTCCAGAGTCCTGGAATTACAGGCGTGTGCCACCACTCCAGGTGCATCTTTCATCTTGACTGGTGATTCTCACATTAACTGGAGGATTGACTCTCCCAACTAACTACATGTAACCAGAGAGTTGGTGGGAAATCCAGTGATGGTTCAGGATTTGTGGGCATTTCACATTTCTCCAGCTCCCTGGATTTTTACACATGATTATTTAGGACATTTGGTCCCCAACTACCAACTACCCCTTCAACTCTTATTAGTAACCCAGTAACAATAGTGATCAGAACCCTGAGTTTTAGAATGATAGAAGAAAATAAGCTAAGGTATTTGTGGGCTGGAGATCTAGATTGCTGAACTGTGCTCCAGTCCAGGGCCACATTTAAAGGGCTGTTGAACAGTCGAAAAGATAGCAAGCAGCAGACCAAGTCCATGGCTACCTCTCATAGGAACCTTGCACAGACTCCGTGCTAAGACTGAGGTAGTGATAGAACTGTTACTACCACCTTGGTCACACTCTAGGGAGGCTGTATGGTATTGTATTTTACTTCAGACTTCAACCTGCTTTCATATCCCACCTGTACCAATTTTTGGCCAGTATGACCTCAGCTTATTTTGTTGATGTTGTTAAAGAATTGATAATAGTACCACCTGTAGGGTTCTTAGAAATTAATGTTTAAGCCCGGCATGGTGGCTCACTCCTGTAATCCCAGAACTTGGGAGGCTGAGGTGGGAGGATCCTTGCAAGTTCGAGACCAGCCTGGGCTACAAAGTGAGCTCAAGGCCAGCCTGAACTGCATAGACCCTGTCTCAAAAAAAGACCAAAAAAAAAGAAAGAAGTTAATGTTTAAAAGCCCTGCACCAAGTCTAATATATCTTAAGTGCTTATTCAGGAAAGGTATAACATTCAAGATGATATCTTCTAGCTGAAATTGAAAAAACTGAACTAATGTTACAGAAGAGCAAATTCTGGCTTGGTCTGAAGAAGAAATGTTGCCTGTCTTTGAACGGTTAAGACTGAATAGCTGTGGGGGCTGGGGATTTAGCTCAGTGGCATAAGCGCCTGCCTTGCAAGCAGGCAGTCATGAGTTCGATCCCTGGTACCGATAAAAATGAAAAAGACCAAAAAAAAAAAAAAAAAAAAGACTGAACAGCTGTATGTTAGATATGTATATGGCATTCTGCCATTCGGTAAGATGTCCGAGTGTAAGTCCCCTGCCACGCTAATACTCTTGGATTGTATAAGACAAACTCTGAAAATTTTGTTTTATTAAACATGGTTGGTTGTGTTGCAGAACTAAACCCAAAGAAGCTAAGCCATGAAAACTTTCAGGTTTTTTCTTTGTCTTTGTCTTTTTCTTTTTCTTTTCTTTTCTTTTCTTTTTTTTTTTTTTTTTTTTTGGGTATCTTTCTAAAATTAGATATTATTGGTACATTTTAGATGTACATAGTGATCGCATTCATCATAGAGAATTTGTACCTGATATAACTTGAGTTTTTTTCCCCATTCCCCTACTCTCCCTCCCACCCCTCATTTCAGTGTAATAAAATGAACTTTTTAACTTATTAACTTCTTTAGTTAACCATTTACTATTTAAGAATTACTGGTGTGATATTAGAATTAAGTTTGAGTCATAAAAGCTCCAATATAGTGTTTTATCTATGGAGAGAAAATTAGCACGTTAGTTATTAATTAGGACATTAAGAAAATTTAATCCTATTTTAGGAATAGAATTTTAAAAACAACAAGTGTGGGAGAAATGCATCAGAGATGCTATTAGAACCTCACCTAAAATAATTTGGAATACATTGTAATCTTATTTTTTTCTCTAATTTATATTCTGACTGAAATCATTTAAAGCAGTGGCTTAGAATATTATACTAAATATTTGAGAAAAGGAAGAGCTAAAAGACCTTCCCTCACTAGTTCAGGAAGCCTTACTCAAAGAGAAGTTAGGCAGAGAAAGAATCTTTGTATGTAGGGACACGGTGTATTGAAAGTTTTCTAACGGGTAGCAGCCTAGACTCACGTCCTTTTGCAGCTGCCGGTTAGTTTATTTAACCTTAAGACTTGGCTTCCTAATCTGTACATGTAGTCTTACTTTGTCTCCCTCACATGAATGTTATAGTAATTCAGTGAGTTAGTTTACATATGAAAAAACTTGGTAGGCTATATCATATTAACCAACTTTTAACTTGAGATATGAAAAGTAAAAAAAAAAAGAGGAAAACAAGGAAACAAAACTTTTGTAAAAGGGGAGGAAAAGAGGGGTTGAAGGAGGAGTAGGGGAATGGGGAAAAAAGAAACAAGTTGTGTCATGCACAGGTGCAAATCCTCTATGATGAATGTATCATTTTTCATATCTAAAATGTGCCAATAAAATATGATTTAAAAAATTTAAGTCATCCTGAACAAATAAATGTTACCACCTTTAAAATCATAGAATGCTATTGTGAAGTAGAGTGACTATAGATGATAATGTATTAGTTGTATATATTTCAGAATGCTAGAAGAAAAGGTTTTGAATATTTTCACCATAAAGTTATAAATTAATCGAAAGTGTAAAAAGAAATAAGTATGTTTAACCTGATTTAAACATTATGCAATTTGGCTGTGTGTCAGAAACATTACATGGTACCACATAAATGTGTATAACTTTTGTTTTTAAACCATACAGCTACTTTTGACATAGTCACAATCTCACTGAGATCCTTTTATAATAGTAAGCATTAATATGACAGTATTTTTTTAGGTAGAATTTTTTTTTTCATTTTAAAGAGAAAAAAACCAAACAAACTAGAATAGATCCAATCAAAACAAAACAGAGAATGCAATACAGGACTTCAAAACAAGATAATAGAAAATCAGCAATGGCTTCCATAATGCCATTATAGTAGCTGCATATACCATTATCAATAAAATCAGTCAAAACAAAACAATGAAAGTAGGGGCTGGAGATTTAGCTCAGCGGCATAAGCGCCTGCCTTGCAAGCAGGCAGTCGTGAGTTCGATCCCTGGTACCGAAAAAAAGGAAAAAGACCAAAAAAAAAAAAACAATGAAAGTAATGCAGAGCTTCAAAAAAGATAGTATTTTAAAAGCCAGGTGTACACCCTTGTAACCCCAGACCTTGGGAGGCTGAGGCAGCCTAACCTGCAGAGCTAAAAACTATCTCCAAACAAACAAGTATTTTAAGAGAAAGCTAAAATAATTGGTTTGCTGCCACACCATTTCATGAATTGTTCTTTTTAGTCTGCATTTGGCGTCCTAGAGAGTAGCTGACTTCAAGAGTATTTTCTTTCCAGATAAATCAGATCCTATTTAAATTGTCTGTGAACTCCCTGGGAATCATACTAACCCACAGGAAAGTGAAACACTGTTTCAGAACAGTGAACACTGTACCTTCCCCTTGAGTCACCCACTGTTACTGTCTTAGGGTGCTGTCTGTATTGTTCTCTACAGACTTCTCTTTTTTATAGGCCATCCCATGACAGGTCACAGACTTCAAAATACTGTTTGAATTACCATTTTGTCATCCACTGTTAGGCCCCAGAACAATATGCTTGTTATAAAGTTTACTATTTAGTTAATACCAGATGTTAGGATATTAATGTTTTTGATCTGCAGTTTTAAGAATATTTTCCTGGTATCAGAGATATTTAGATTAAGGTTATCTTCTTTTAAATCCTGAGCAATGCCTTCTAAATATGATTACTTAGTGAACTTGAGACCAGGAATTGAACTCATGACCCTAGGCTTGCTAGGCAGGTGCTTATGCTGCTGATATATAGATAGATAGATAGATAGATAGATAGATAGATAGATAGATATTTTAATTGTCTTATTAGATTGGCAGTTTGGGAAATGGAAAACTTCATGTTTAATGGATTTGTGTTAGAATTTGAATCTGTCAGTGTTTACAAGTTTTATTATTGTTACAAATTGATACTGTCTGGTGGAAATATATCCATTGTAATCATTTAATCTAGGAATGACTACAATTTTAAGAACTATTTCTTTTCTTCCCCTCCCCCCCAGGAGATTTTGATGAATTCACTCAAGACAATAATGACATTATGTTGAAAAGCATAGCAGATGACCTTCGGAGTTGCTTACCTCTAGAAACCATGCTTGCCTCAGAACCTGTAGCCCTTCAAAAAGTAAATACATTAAGGCAAATTAATTTACTCTTAGTGCTGCTTAAGAGTCTATTATTCCCTAACCCCAAGGGGTCTTCAATCTAATTAATCCTGCATTTAACTTTAGACAATGTTTTAGTGCTTCCGGTGTGTCTCTGATTCTTCTGAATACTCAACTCCCTGCCTCCAAGTGCTCTGTATTCAACTTTTTTGTTTTTTTAGCGATACTGGAGATAGAACTCATAACCTTGTGCTTGCCAGGCAGGCACTTATGCCACTGAACTAAATCCCCAGCCCTGGTTTGTTTTTTTGTGGTTTTTTTTGTACCAGGGATTGAATTCATGACCATACACTTGCAAGGCAGGCACTTATGCCGCTGAGCTAATCTCCAGCCCTATTTAACTATTTTTTTAAAGCATCCTGTTCGACTGAAAAATCAGAAACTGGTCATCCAGACCAAACAAGGACTAACCTGGCTTTGGAGTGTGGTGTCATGGTTTTCTCTTCCTATTCCACTCCCTTACTCTTGTCATAGATGAAGTCCACCTTTTTGTTTCCTTCTACTTTGGCATTTATGTATTTTTGTTTATTCTTCTATTTCTAGAATATAATTCTGGTTTGTTTCTCCCAACCATCCCCTTATTTAAATTCCTTCAATTCTCAGCCCATACGGAGACCGTGTAATGTGAACATTTTTTGTTTTTTGGTTCTGGGAATGAAACTGATGAACACTGTTTTTTTTTGTTTTGTTTTTTTGGTTTTTTTTTTCCTTTTTTATCGGTACTGGGGATCAAACTCACGACTGCCTGCTTGCAAGGCAGGCACTTATGCCGCTGAGCTAAATCCCCTGCCCCCTGAACATTGTTTTTTAAAGCAAAGCTAGTATTAGTATCTTCTTTATCCATGAATCTGAAAACAGCTGTCCTTAATGTGGTTTCTTCATTCTATAAATACCTGAGCAGAGGAAATAAGTACTGTACATTCCATTTATGTATTTGTTTTTGGTAGCAGGAATCAAACTCAGGACCTTGTGCTTGCCAGGCAGGCACTATACCACTAACCTAAATTCCTGACCTAGCCTATACATTCTTTTTTTTTTTTTTTGTCTTTTTCCTTTATATCGGTACCGGGAATTGAACTCAGGACTGCCTGCTTGCAAGGCAGGTGCTTATGCCACTGAGCTAAATCCCCAGCCCCCCTTAATCTGTATACACATCATGATTTAGCAAATCTTAGTAAATATCCAGTCATTCAGAGTTGGTTCCCAAAAAGAAAAAATGTAAGGTAGTACAAAAATTTAGAGATGGCTGGGGATTTAGCTCAGTGACTAAGCACCTGCCTGGCAAGCATGAGGTCATGAGTTCAATCCCTGGTACAAAAAAAAAAAAAAATTCAGAGAAATGTTTATAAACCAAGTACAGTGGTGCCCACCTGTAATCCCAGTACTTGGAAGGCTGAGGCAGAAGGATCACTGAGTTTCAGTCCACCCTGGGATTCATAGTGAGTTCAAGGCCAATCTGAACTACATAGGAAAACTCTGTCCCAAAAAATTAAAAAAACAACAACAAAAAAAGAGGAATATTTGTAGTACAGTTCAGGTGTCACTAATAAAACAATTTTAATCAGTATCCGAATCCTAATATATGAAATAAGGAAAAACATTGTGTTAATCACCCTGTTATGTCCTCATAACATTAATTTTTTTATCTTCCTCAGCTTACTCTAATCATTTAGTATACCCACACTTGATTTAACATTCTTCCAGAGATTAATTGAATGGGTATAGATATGAGTTTTGGAGGAGGGGGTTGTTCTTGCTCTTGTTTTTGTTTTTGTTTTGTCTTTTTGAGTCAGGGTCAGGGTCTCTATATGCAGTTCAGGGTGGACTTGAGCTCACTTTGTAGCCCAGGCCAGCCTCAAACCTAAACGATCCTTCTGCCTTAACCCCCCGCGTGCTGGGATTACAGGCATGGGCCACAACACCCCATAGGTGCAGATATGATTTTTAGGCATTTGGGTGGATACTAGGGATTGAACCCTGAGCCTTCCCATTAAGCTTCATCTCCAGCCTTTTAAAAAAATTTTCAGGTGGTTTTTGGTTTTTGGTTTTCGAGGCAGGGTCTTGCTGAGTTGCTAACTGCCTAAGCTGTTCTTGAGTTTGGGATCCCCCTGCCTCAACCTCCAAAAGTGCTGGGATTATAGTTAAGTGCTACCATGCTCAGATAGGGTTCTTTATTACAGTTAAAGTGAAAGGAATCAGCCATTATCTTCTCTGTAGCCACTTGCCGTTATATCATATACTATGAGTATTAATAAAGGGTTACGATTTGTAAGCATGGAGTTTTAATAACATTTTTAATTATTCGAAAGCTCGACTTACTGGGCAAAGATTCTTGCTAGGTATTCTGACTGTGAGTAACTGACAGGACTTAGAAGACCTAGCATTTGTTTCAACCTTTCCCCTCTTACCGGGTAATTTCCTTGGAGAAATCTCCATCAGCGTATTTGCAAAACCTACCTTTAGGGTGCACAAGGATAATCTCTCAGATTCCTTTCAGCTAATAATTTTATATACTTCTCATGTTATTGGTATCTAATAAATGAAGGACTTAAGAAAGCATAATTTGTATTCTGTGATATGTTGCTCTCAGACTTTTAGGATGCGAACCACTGATGTTTCGCCTTGTTTAACAATAAGAAGAGTTCTTTGTACTTTGTTTCCTTTGTTTTAGGTTATGTGCTGCTGAAGCAAGCACTGTGCTTTCTTTTGATGTTTTCCTCTCTCCTCCAGATACAGCAGCAGCCAGAACCCACGGTTCACGTTGATGCATTCCTTTATGATGAAGACTTTATTGATTCATTATGTGAGGAAGGAAGAATGAGCAGGAACTACTGTACAGTGTGCGGCTCGCAGCAGACAGCACCTTTAGGTAGGCACGCAAGTGACTGATAACTTTATGTGCGCTTTTTCTTGTGTGTCATGAATGTATAAAGGTTTGAACAGGTCAGGGCAGGTTTCTTTAAAGGCAAAAGCCATCCTGTGGCCATTACCAAGTACTGCAGTTAGGGAAGAATAAGTCAGGAAAGCTAGGCACCTTATTTCCCCCAGAACTTATGTAAAGGTGACTCCTCGAGTACAGAAACTAATCAGAAATGACTGAGTACAGGGGAACTCTGTTTACTCACCCGAGACTGATACATGAACCGTATGCTGACTTATTTACAATAAATATAACTTGCTAGGGGACTGAAATAGTCTCCCTATAAAATATCTGCTTGAGAAGTCAGATAGTGAGCGGATATTAATGAGTGGGCATGGGCTCAGAAAGTTTATTCAGGCCAGTGAGTGTTTTGACACCATGAAGCATCCACGAGCCATAGCAACACAACTCTAGTGACAATAAGTCTGTTACAAGTCTGTCCCTTGGCTGTAGCACCTGTGTCCAAAATAAGAACTAGGCTGACTCCCCGCTGCTAATAGGTTAACTCTTCTGTTAGTACAGTCTTCTTTCAGACTGGATGTGATTGTCTAGGTTGTTGCTTTGGACTACAGTACCTTTTACTGTTCACCTGCTCTTGGAGTTGTTGCTTAGAGTGGGCTACCCTCCCAGGGGAGAAATCTCATACTCATGTTACTGATCTTAGATAATAGCCTGAAAAATTAATCACTACCAAATTTCGATTTGTTGCTGATGCAAATCCATTATACTTATAGTATAATTTGGGGTTAAATATATCTGATTTAGTGGTTTAATATTCTATTTCAAGGTAACACTTACAATATCCCTGAAAGTAGTTGAAATTCACAGATGAAAAGAACATAGACAAGAACAAAATAGGACAAACTAAAAGGTGAATTATAACTGAAAAGTAGATACTGTATCAAATAGATCTAATGTACAGAAATTTGTAGAAGAGAATTTTGTAGAATAAAAATTGGAAGATTTTATTTTCTTGTAAGAGTCAGTTTATAAATAATAACTGGATACTCAGAGCAATACAAGTGACAGTAGTGAATCCAAAATAGGTCTCACCATGAGGGACTCTGACACGTACTCAGATGACAGGGGTTTGTCTAGCTACAAGACCCATGGAAGAAGCGCCAGTTTAGCAAAGAGGATATGGAGGATTGGGCCATGGGAGAACAAAGACAGGTTGTTAGAGCCCACCCCAAGAGTTACTTCAAAGGCCCGGTCACATCGTTTATTCTATTCCAAAGGACTGGTCTGCCCGCTACCATTTTTTAGCCACTATCAGTTTTGACTCAAATCTCTCTCTTCCTTGACCCTTATATTCTATAAAACATAATATATTCCATCTTTGAGTTCCTGCAGCAGGATAGAACCAGATTCAAGTTATTCCAGATGGATGCTTGATCACAGAAACTGGGGTGAGAGGATAAACTACAAGACTAGAAGTGAAGGGAAATAAGGACAGTTTATGGGAGCATCTTCCTCTTGCTCTGTACCACTCCACAACACACATTTTAGATTGGTCAGGGCTGCCACGTCACACAACCCCAGAAATGGTCATTCATTTGATTATTCACCGTCTGTGGCAGCCCGCAGCTACAAGGTGAGGTGAGAGATGCAGACGGTGTGTAAGTTATGTAGTCACCCCATGCAGCAGCAGGTCACAGGGAAAAGAAGAGGAAAACCCAGACCATCCCAAGCAAATGCAAGAATAAAAAGAGGGGCACTCAGATGACTTAGAAAGAGCCTTCCAGGCCTTTGAAATATCAGAGACTTAATATTTGGTTTTCATGGCACAAGAGCCTGCCTGGTAAGTGCAAGGTCCTGGGTTTGATTTCTGGTCCTCCCTCACATGAAAATTTTTCTCTAATGTAACTCAGAATAGAAGAATACAAATTTATCACATTTTTTTTTCAATAAACTCTGGATGGTTTTCATTGATTAAGCAAAAACATGAAGTTGAGTATGGTAGCACACACCTGTAATGCCAGCACTGTAGGAGGCTGAGGCAGGAGTTGCCACACGGTCGAGGCCAGCCTTGGCTATATAGTGAGACCTTGTCTCAAAACAAAAACCAAAAAGAGAGAGGAAAGAAAGGTAGCGAAACATACTTTCTAAATATAGATGAAGGAACTAGAAGCACAGAATGCAACTGTGAAAGCCAAGCACAATTTAATATTCCCTCTGTTCTAATTTTCCAGGCTTTATTTCTCATTCCTTCTCCCTCATGGAACTGAAGTTCATTTATCATCACATACTCCCCGACCTGTCGGGAAAGGTCTTGGTTGACGTTGGCTCCAGACTTGGCACAGTCCTTTATGGGGTAAAGTCCAGCTTATGGACATATTCAACATTTGGAAAATGCTTTCTCCTCCTGCTAGTGACAGCTTTGCCTGCCACCAAAGGTGACAGCTTGGCCTTCTTGATTGAAGTAGCAAAGTAAGGCTAGAATAGTGTAATGGAGGCAGGCTCCTAAATTCTATTTGATAGTAGTTGAGGGGAGAATTTCAAAGACCAGCTGTCTGGTTTCCTTTACTTTGTCTATGCAACAGAAAAAAGCGCACGTACAAAAGAGAAGTAATGTAGCCCGAAAAGAGAAGTACGTGACTCATAACGCATTGCCATGTTGTCAGCCCGTACTGCTTCCCAACCTCTTCTAATTTGTACTGTACTAAAATAAAACAGTGTACTGGTCTTTGATAAGAACTCATAAAACTGGCAAATTTACTTGACCTAGGAGGTCCCTGAGTGGCTGTGAGCAAATCACTTAATACCACAGGGCCTCTAATTCCTTCTCTATAAATGAGTAACTAAATGATGTCGAAGGACACATTTTGTTCCAGTTTCTGTGATCCAGAGTTTGAATGCAGAAGACATGTGTTTCTGAAACATTACTGCAAGGTGGTCTTTTGAAAAACTTCACATCATGAGTATTTCTAAATTCTCAAATGGTTTTAGTGAAAAGCTAAAGTGTGGTTTCTGTTTGTCATTAGCAGACTTGTTAAAACCACGGCCACCAGTGGTTGAGGCTTATGCCAAAAATGGCACTGTCCATCCCCAGCATCAAAAGCAGTTAACTCTTTAATGCTGAGTTTATTTTGCAGTGTTAAATTTTTATTCTGTAATTAGGAAAGAGGCTGGGGATTTAACTCAACAGCACAAGTGTTTGTCTGGCAATACAGTTTATGCTAAGGGGTGGGGAAGGAGGTGGTGTTCTTGTCTTGGGGACAAGATCTCACTAGGTGGCCCAGCCTGTCCTCCAACTCCTAGGCTCCAGCCATCCTGCCGCTTCAACCTCCCAAGTACTGGGGTTATAAACAAGGGCCACCCTACTCTTTTTGGCTGGTCATTTTGTTTGGAAAAATACTGGAGATTATGACTGCTTACTGTATTTTGCTCACTCTCTTTGACTTTTGATTTATTAAAAAGCAATAAAGCTAAAGTAATTGTGGCTCTGCAGAAGAGGTATCAGTGATGATAACCAAATAGATTGATATATTTCTCCATATTAAGCCACTGATTCAGTCAAAAATTTTGGACTACCTCCACAGGCAATGTTAAGCATCTTGTAAAAATCCATGCTAGAAGCTGGGCATGGTGGTACACATCTCTAATGCTAGCACCCAGAGAGGCTGAGGCAGGAAAATAGCAAGTTCAGGCCCACCCTGGGCAACTTACTTATAAGACCTTGTCTCAAAATATAAAAAAGGAAAGGGGCTAGGAGCATGGCATAGTGTGAAGCCCCTGAGTTCACTCCCCAGTATTGTAAAAAAAAAAAATTGTTTTTAATTCCGTGATGAAACACTAGATACAGATTTGGTTGTCTGATTTTTATTTTGTTTTTGTTTTTGGTGCTGGGAATTGAACTTAGGATCTTATGCATGCCAGGGTAGCACTTGTGCCACTGAACTAAATCCCCAGCCCCAGTTATCTGTGTTTTTATATCTTATTGTTTTTGTTATTGCAACTAAAATAGGCATATAACAACATATAGTCAATTCTCAATCACCCTTATTAACTAAATGGTTGATTATCGTTAGCAGGTTCCCTGACGCTCGCTGACTTCCCTGAGTCAGCAGTGCATTCCCAAGGTCACCTCCCACTAGCGCTAGACTGTGCATGATCGTTCATTAAACTCACCGGAGATCTCTCTAGCTGTCCTAAAAAAACTTCCCAATCACAGAAGTTGGGTTTTAGTCAGAGAATAACTATGCAGTCACTTTTGTCAAGTCCAACTTTGCTGAATGCCCTGTTTTACAGTTTTTATCAGGAAAAAGAACTCAATCCTGTGGCAGAGATATAGCTCAAAGACACAGAACCTGCCTGACAAGTGTGAGGTCCTGAGTTTAATTCCTGGTATCAAAAAAAAAAAAGAAAGAACTTAAAAAATATAGCCATGTGCTGGGGATTTAGCTCAGTGGCATAAGCGCCTTCCTTGCAAGTGTGCGGTCGTGAGTTCGATCCCTGGTACAGATAAAAACGAAAAAGACAAAAAAAAAAAAAATATATATATATATATATATATAGCCATGTAGTGGGAATTAATAAGCTACAATTGAGATCTGACCAGTATGAATAAACTTCTGGAGGTTGTAACTTTATATAAACTACAAGGTGGTATTTATGTTTTGTTTTATTTTATTTTCACTGTGTTTGATAGTTTTTTAAAATTTGAATCTTTAATTAGAAATAAACTGCAATTAAAAGTTAATTAACTTGTATCGTAATGTATCTTTCTCTTTTAGGGTTACCTTTATAGTTCAGCTGTACAGCTGTATGGAGTAGAACTGAATGGAGACTTTTGCCAGTTACAGGAAATGGTCATTAAAAAATACCAGTTTAGTGACAGAATAAAGGTACTCTTCTTTTTAATTTTTACTTTTATCGGTACACATTTACAGTCCCTAATGATCACACTCATCATGGAGAGTGGTGCATGGACACAACAGCTCTGAATTCTTTTTCCATCTCCTTCCCTTTCATTTCCTCTTGCCTCTGTCTGCAGAGCAAGTTTGAGCCAAGTAAAAGAGGAAAAAGCAAAATAAAAGTACATCCAGGGAACACAGGGCGGGCTATTGTGAAGAAAGTTACAATAGCCTGAGTTGACCTAGTATCCTAAAAAGTTAATAGAGATCATTGTTACAATTATATCCACTCACACACTTTTCTTTCTCCCTAAAGTTTTTAGAAAGTAAATTTTTTTCTATTTCTTTCTCTCTCTCTTTTTTTTTTTTCTTTCTTTTTCATTGTTGCTGTTTTATTTTGTTTTTTGAGACAATGTCATGCTGGCTTGAAACTTACTATTACAATCCAGGCTGGCCTTAAGCTTGCAGCAGTCCTCCTGCCTCAGCCTCCTGAATGCTGGGATTACAGATGTGTACCACCATACCCAGCTGTTTTCTCTGTATCATCTATAATTTTGGTAGCAGCATATTTTAAACTCTAGTGAAGTTGGTTAGAAATGTATGTATGTGTATACTATAGTTTTTTTGAGACTGGGTCTTACCATGTAGTTCAGGCTGGCCTTGAACTGATTATTTAGTCCACCCTGGCCTCAAACTCTGACAATCCTGCCTCAGCCTCCCTAGTGCAAGGATACATATGTGTGCCACCATACCTGGCCCAGAAATGTACTTAATTAAGCTGTAAATGTTGAAAATAAATGAAAGGGCTATGTGATACTCACAGTTCCTTATCTTTCTCTGAACTTTCAGAGAGTATAATAGATGCCATAGGATAGTAGTTCATAGGGAACAAGCCTTTGGCTTAGGCCAGTAGTGGCAAACCTATGACATGTGTGATGTGTCTTGTTTTTCTTTTAAGATAAAAGATGTTAATGTTTGAGTTGTTTTCATAAACTAAAACCTAGGTTAGGTTTAATTGCAGTGTTGGCACTTTGTGATAAAGCAGTGGGCTTTGGGTTGTAGTTTGGGCACTTGATCTCTAAAAGGTTCGCTGTTCTTGGGTTAGGCTGTGGCTGAGGTTTTCTTCTTTTCTTATATTTAAGAGAAAAAATGTCAAGGAATTGTGGGTTGATACAGTAATTCTTCATGATGTGCACTTGCAGTGGCCAACCAGAGAGGTGTCGATGCGCTCTGATGTCCAGCATTCCCACATTGAGAGACATCACAGTTAGCCAGGCCTGGTGGCGCACACGGGAAGCTGAGGCAGGAGGACTGTGAGTGCTGGCCCAGCCCAGGCAATTTAGCGACTGAGCCAGACCCTGGCCTAGAATAAAAAGGGGCTGGAGGCCTGGCTCAGTGTGAAAACCGTGGGCCCAGCCTTTCCCCTTTTTTATACAGAAAATTATTTTATTCTTTCCCCCATCCCTTCTTTCCCCATAGCCATGTTAGATATTGAGAAATAAATGAGAGAGAATTGTTCACTAAATTCACAGTTTTTTCTCACTATCCCGTATGTAATAAACTATAACACACTGCTGTTACACAGTAACAGTCACATAACTAACAGAAATATATTTTAGAACCTATTAACTATCACACATAATAAATGGATAATCAAAAGTTTTCTTGTTTTAAAGGTAATGATAAAATATAAAAATACATTTATATATATAAAATATATAAATTTTTAAAAAATTTTTACCCCCTTTGAAAAACTATGTAGGTACATGCTCAGCCACACACTTTCCCTGGCTGTGACCTCTGTTGCCCTCAGCAACCCCATGGTAAAAGGCACTACCTGATTTGGAGATGACAATGTACCATTGTTTCCCCCCTGACTTGTTGTGCAATTTTGTCTTCATTTTTTTCCCTTGAAATAAAATGGATTTGAAAAATTAAATTAATTTTTTTTTAAAAGGCAGTGCCATCTTATGACTACCGGAAGCCTTAATGGTTTCCTTCCTTAAAGCTACAGACAGATGTTGGATTTGAGGGGCCCTAGAGATTGATCATAGGGTTGTTTTTTATATTATCTGCTGAGATTCAGTTAGCCTTGAAAGGCTCAGACTTTTTTATATTTGTTGTTTTTGTTGTTTGATTTAGAAATGCTTGTTTGTCTGCCCATACTTGAGAAAGTAACCAGAAAGTGGACTGAAGTTTGGAGCACCCAGGGAGGGTAGCTACCAGTGGCTTCGCTTTGAGTGACCTTGTGGGTGATTAGGAAGGTCTCCCTGCGGGCTGGCTGCGTACACGGAGAAAGCTTTTAGGCTCTTAGCTGAGTGGCAAGCAGCATCCCTGAACTGAGTAAGAGGGGCCAGGGTTGGTGAGTCGGGCTTCTCGGCATCCTGGGTGCTTGTTGGCCTCGTTCTCTTGTTGGCAGGAGTTCTCCCTGTGCTTCAGCGAGGTCTGCTCCCCAGGCCCAGATTCTTTCTGTTTGACCACCCCCCACCCCCAGAGAAAAACCTCTTTCTTTTGCTCCATTCTGCAAGGCCTAAGTCTGTCAGTTTTTGAGGTAGATTTGTGGTATTTTTCTTTAATCATCTTGCTTTTTTGGACAGGTAATACATTCAAGTGAATTTTAAAGGAAGAGTCGAATAAGACCAGTTAACATAGTGTAATAATATTTTATAACTCATATGTATGTTTCTATGATTTTCACATGTTCCTGTTTGATTCTATGAATCAGGACAGATATTCCATTTTATTTATGGAAAAACTGACTACCTAAGAGTACAAACCTAGTTGGTAATAGTGCCATAGTTTTTTTTTTGGTCTTTTTGAGACAGGGTCTTGCTATGCAGTTTCAGCCTGGCCTTGAGCTCACTTTGTAGCCCAGCCTGTCTCTAACTCGCAACGATCCTCCTGCCTCAGCCTCCCAAGGGCTGGGATTACAGGCATGAGCTGCCACACCCAGCCAATAGTGCCATTCTTTAAACTACATCCTTTTTAACTTTTACAACTTGGGATACAATTATAGTGTAAAAAAATCTGAACTCAAGAGTTAAGAGAGCACATTTATGACTAAATAATTCTATATAAGACAAATCTTCACAAGTTTTTGTGTTTTACTGTATATTACAAATCTCCTGTTGGGGTGAATATGCTATTATTCCCCCATTCACCCAAGGGTTAACCTCCCAGAATGCTTTGCAGTGAACCAGCAGCTGTTTCTTTTGCCATGTGTGATGCAGTGCCCTTGTTCTCTTACATGAACTCATTCCTCCTCTGTAGGTGATCCATGCAGACATCCGTACCCAGGGTTCACTTCTGCACAGTGCTGATGTTGTCATAATGAATAATGTCTTCGAATATTTTCTTAATGAGACAGAACAGGCCAGGTATGTTATTTATTCAAATAAGAATTAATTCATTTCTAAAATATATTCAGGCAATGTACGAAAAGAAATTATCATGGTAGAAATGTTTTCATATTAAACTTTTAAAAAATAACCAAGTGTAAGGTGATTATTTGGAATGTATTTTATCTACTATGTATATGATAAAATTAAAACTAACTTTGTCTAACTTTGTAAAATATTACATCTAGTTTTTTGTCAGATACAAAATGATTACATGACCCAAGCACCTGCTTAGCAGCCATTGATACAATTAGAAAACAATTCCCAATGGTTCTTTATGCTTATTCTTTTCTACTTGTTCCCTTTTTTTTGAAAAGCCATTGCTATTGTATCACAAAATAATGGAAATCAACTAAGGCCTATAAATGAAATTAAAACAATATAGGAATGTTAACCTAGAACACTAATTATAAAACTTAAAATATTCTGAATACTAGTAGTTATTTAGGTAGGTGTCTTAGTTATTTTTTCTTATTGTTGAGACAAAACATGTGACACCCCAAGTTAAATGAGGAAATTTCTACCTAGTTCACAGGTAGAACAAGGGCACTGCATCACACACGTGCAAACAGAGCAAAAAAGCAAGCAACAGCAGCAGCCCCCTTTCTTCCCTTATATTCTATCCAGGCTACTAACATGAGGCCTTCCCATTATCCACACCCAGAACTATGCCAGAATTATGTATGATTTAGTAATGACATACTCTTGATCCCAGCATCATACATTCTAAATCCAGCCACCTCTAAAAAAGCCGCACCCATAACCACATAAGGCTTTGGGGGTACATCTAGACATAAGCCATAACACTGACTGTGGTGACACTCCAGCACTTGGAAGACTGAGGCAAGAGGATCACAGTGTGTTCAAGGCTAGCCTGGGCTACTTAGTGAGTTTAAGGCCAGTCTGAGCTACATAAGCAAGACCTTGGCTCGAAAAATTAAAAGTAGTAGTAATAGTAGTCGTCATCATCATTGTCAAAGCAGTTTCCTGAAGTTTATTGCACTTTTCAGGTAGTAGGAAAAACTTAAGAAACCTGAGATCACTTTTCTGACTCCTCTGCCACTATAATTGATGCTAGTTGCCCATCAGGACCTGTAGGATCCTCCTAATTAGGAAATTCCTGTATTAGATTCTGAGATGCTATTTATCTGGCCAGTTAGCTTGCTGCTTTCTAACATATTGTAGTAGTTTATGAGTACTCTCAATGCAGAAAAGGCCTTTTCGAAACATAGATATAAAGGGAATTACCCCAATATGTTTGCATCAGTAAGTAAGGTTTCCATTCCCCAGAAATTAAAATGCATAGAATTATAAACCAAAATGGAACCCTGAATAGCCAAACCTCCTCATTCTACTAGTTTACCTCTTCGCTGTCTATATATTTCCTGCCTCTTCCCCACAACACACACACACACATCCCAGTTACTGCTAGGTTAAGGTCACTATGAAATTAACAATTTAAAAAGAAGCCTCTTTCAGCAGAAAGCTAATTATAGTCATAGCTTAGTAAGAATAGGTGATGATTTTTTATTCACATACTAAATAGCAGCAGCACAAGTTGTTTTCATCATAGTGCCTTCTTTAAACATAATTTCCAATGGATAAAATAGGATTAGCCAGGCATGGTGGCACATGCCTGGAATCACAACATTGAGGGGGGCTGAGGCAGGAGGATCACCACATGTTCAAGGCCAGCCTGGGCTACATAGCAAGTCCCAGACCTGTGAGACCCTGTCTCAAAAAACAAAAACATAGCACAATAAAACAAAACATGTTTTTCCTTTTTTAAACATTGACAAAGTCTCATATTCACTAAAAGTATGAAGAAACGAAAAGGTAGAAGAAAAGTATGCTCTGTAAAGTGAGCGAGGTCAGAGTAAACAGGGAGGAAAAAACAAAAGTACACCCTACAGCTTGTGGTGGACCACTGTGAAGAGGCCCGGGTTCTTTGCCTTTTCAAATTAATAACAAGTAGCCAAAATATTATATAGTTGTTGAAAAATGAAATACGAACAAGTTTATGTTTTAAGAAATTGAAAGAAAAAATACCTTAAATTCTCTGGAGATTCGTGATAGGAACATTATGAATGCTGAAGAAAGAGAAAAGCTCGGGTAAACTTGTCACAGGACATACTGCATATTTAGGTTGTTCCAGAAGTCTTTCTTGGTGCATTCACTCCTGAACTCTGCATGACTCACTCACTCAGCAAATGTTGAACACATGATATAATTTAGGCACATCTAAGTGTAGTGCAATAAATTCTAAATATAGAGATGTTATAGTCTCTTAGGGTTATTTTTTTTTTTTATTTTGAAAGTAGTAAAATACAACAGAACAAGACAATAAAGCCAACTGAGACCGTGTAGTGAAATTGGTCTAGAACTTCAAAGCAGGTTACCAGGATAACAGTAACAGGTATCGCAGTATATTTCATTATCTTTACAATAGTTGTTCTTTCAATCACATATATCAAAATATAATGAAATACAGAACATTATAGAACTTAATCAAAACGGAATATTGAATAGAGCAGTACCATTAATCAAAATAAAGCAAAACAGTAATAAAAATATTTGCCTTCAATGAGATGGTAGAAGGAAATCCCCCTTATTTGTTATGATCAACCTCCCAAGAGATGCTCAGATTTCTGGTTCCCATTTGCTAACGAGGGGACAGGAGAAGCGGGATAGGGGAAGTGGGATGTTTGACTCTAGGCTGTGCACCAGTAGGCTCACTGTTGCTTAGTAGGGAGGCCGGCTGGTTACTGGTTTCCCAGCGTCCTAAGTTCCAACATGGTTTGGATCTCAGGAGACACTGGTGGTTCTCCCCCTGGAAGGGCCGCAGTCTGCCACACTGCAGCCGCTTACCAGGGAGGGGAGCTGCTTGCTTGGTTTCCCAGGGTCCTAAGTTCCAACATGGTGGGTTAATTATTTTCTTTGTGAAAGACAATATACAGAGGTAAGTTTAGATAGAAGATACAATAAAGCATTGCACTAGAATTCTGACCAAAATTGATCATTTATCTATATTTTGTAACAAGTGAATGAACAGATGGTGTAACATATTATCTCCAAGAATTCATATTGTCCTTTGTTCTGTTTTGGTTTTTGTTGTTTGAAACAGGGTCTAAATTTGTACTCTAAGATGGCCTTGAACTAACTTTGTAGCAGTCTGGCCTTGAAATCACAGCAGTCCTCCTGCCTCAGCCTCCCCAGTGCTGGGATTACAGGCGTGTGGTGCCATGCCCAACTTCAAGATTTGCAATCTTCACTGGAGCCTGAGGATAAGTGGAATGATATTACCATAAGAGTTAGTATGAAAGAAAATTCAGGAAAGGATCAAGCTTTAGAATATTCTCATTACAGGGTAACCTCTCAGATTTGTAGAGCAATTTTTAGTTGTTTTTGTTTGTTTTTTTGTTGTCTTGGCTTGGTTTGATTTTTTTTGCATGGGTAGTTGAAACCAGAGCCTCATACACACTAGCGAGCACTCACCCACTGAGCTCTATCCCCATCCTTTTTATGTAGTTTGAGATATGGTCTCGCTAAATTACCTGGGCTAGTCTTGAATTTGTGATCTCTGAATGGCTGAGATTATAAACATGCACCACTGCACCCAGCTAGAGGTGCCTTGTAAACTAAAAGTTGCAGCTAGGCATAGTGGCAAATGCCTGTAATACCAACTAGTTGGAAGGCTGAGGTAGGAGGATTAAGATTATAAGGAAAGCCTTGGCAATTTGTGAAACGTGTCTCAACATACAAAAGAGCTGGAGCAGGAGCTAGGGGATAGAGTGCTGTCCTAGCATGTGCAAGACTCAGTCTGGGTCCAGTTCTCCATACGGGGGAGAAAATGTGTGTGTTGTATCAGTAAAACAGATCCAACTAATACAGTGATAGCGCACAAGAGAAAGACTGTGCCAGGGTACTTGGCTTCTTCTTATATTAGTAATCATGTAAAGTGTGTCGTTTTTAGGACAACAAAATAGCCCTAGTCAAAACACGGTGACATTGAACTGCTACAGACTTTTTATTTGGCCTAAGTAAAAGAATATTTTGTCACTTTGTTAAGAAACTCCAGAGCTTCCTGGGTGAACTAACCAAACAGCCTATGAGTAACACTGCTGCCTCCTGTCCTGCTGCAAGAGGTGCCCTCCTGCGTGCCTTCATCCCTACTCTCCAGTGGCAGGAGCCCCACCCAGACATGCACAGGGCAGAATCCAGCTCACGTCCACACTAAGGGGCACACAGACCCTGGCCACTGGCACACATGCGTACGCGTAGCCTCTGTCCTGCTCTGAAGCTGACCAGTTCCACTGACGTTCCCGATGCTACGTTATCCTGGGAGTCCTCTCAGGAAGTACTCCCACGGGCACATTGAGTGCAAAAGACCTGACCTGCTTATCACATTCTCACTGTTAGTCTTTGGTTTCTGTCCTCACTGCTCCTTTTACCTCCAGGACTTCTGTGACCTCAGCAGGTCTCTCCACCACCTCCCCCCAACAATCTCAGCTCTTTTAGCCAGTAGAACCAAGTCTGCATACTTCATGAACAATTTAAGGAGCTTTAACTGCTGATCCAGCTTTGTATGTTGGTTCTGAAAACCAGCTCGTGGACTTACAGTACTTGCAGTAACCTATCTTGTTAACCTCCCCGGGACTTGACCACAATTTTGCCAACACCCTTCAGGAACTTGAGAATTTGCCAACTCCTAGTACATTGCTTCAGTACTGTTTCCTGTGGGCAAACATTTTTGCCCATCTAGATTTCTAGCTGTCCCCTGAGTTGCATTTTCTTTGTCTTTTCTTCCCTTTTCTTTTCTGTCTTTCTTTTAACTTTCCAGTGTCTTGATACAGTCTTAACATAGCAGGGTTTTTGTTTTGCTGTGTTTTGTTTTTAACCTGGGCGACAGATGTATTGGTACAGATACGCTTTGGATTCTGAGTTTGGGGTTTTTTGTTGACTGCTATTTTTCTAGTGTAGTTTTAGGTTCACAGGAAAAATAAAAGAAAGGGACAGAAATTTGCTGTAACATATTTGTACCCCTACAAATGCAGTCTGCTCCATTGTCCCCCACCAGAGAGGCCCATGTATCACAATGCGTGAGGCTATGACACTGTATTCACCCAGAATCCATGGTTCCCATTGCAGCTCACTCTTGGTGTACAGCCTGTGCATTTGGACAAATGCATGGTGGCATGCATCCACCATTAAAGTGTCACACGTAATATTCCCGCTGAAAATCCCCTGTGCTCCACCTCTTCATCCTGTCCTCTCCCCTCACCCCTGAATCTTTTTACATCTCCATAGTTTTGCCATTTCTGGGGTGTCATAGTTAGAATCATACAGTGTACAATCTTTTCAGATTGGTTTCCTTCACGTAATAATGAGCATTAAAGTTTCCCCCGTGTCTTCGTGGCTTATAGCTCATTTTGAGTGTGGGACACTCTACCACCGTCTGGGTGACCACACATGGCTTATTAGCTCAGCCACTCAAGGACACTTTGGTTACTTTCAAGTTTGACAGTTAGGAGAAAGCTGTGCTAAGCATTCATGTGCAGATTCTTGTGTAAACCTATGTTTTCAACCCCTTTGGATAAATACAAGGAGCACAATTGCTGGCGTGGTAAGAGTATATTTAGTTTTATAAGGAACCACCAAGCTAGTGCAGTGAATGAGGGTTCCCACCACTCCACAGCTTTCCCAGCCTTTGGTTGTTCTGAATTTTCTCCTTTCTCTGAGGTATGGAGCAATTTTAACATAACAGTTTTTATGTGTTGTAGTGCCTGGGAATATATCAGTCATAACCTAAAGAAGCCCGGATCATTATTAGTGACAGTACCAAGTCTTGAAGATTCTCTCTCAGGCCTTCAGGTATGTCAGCCAACACTCCAGCATTTTTATTGTCAAAACTTTTCTCCATTTTTTTTCTCATAACTATTACAGTAAATATTCTAGAAATGTTCTATCTGGGAACAGTGACAAGTGTTAGAATATAAAGACCTTATTGCTTAAGCACTGGCTTGTGGTTTATTTCCTGGTCTGAACTGCTCTGAAATTGCAACACTTACATGGATACAAATTCCTTTGCTTTGCTACCCAATTTTTCTGTGAAGTCATAGTTTTAGATTAAGAAGCATTACTGCATATTTTTAAGAGGCTTAGAACACCCATATCGTAACTGTATCCCTTAGAGTGAAAGGGAACACGGTTGTTCCAGACTTCTGGAATCAAATGAGCAAACTGCAGTACTGCAAACTGTGTACAGCTTGGCTTCTAAGTCACGTGGGATTTAAACTTGTTTCTTTGTTCCTCTTTCTTTATATAAAAGAAGGATGTTTGTTATTTAATAATAAAATTAATAAAATTCAGCCCAACAACATTCCTTATATGAAGATTAATTACGCTTGTGAAGTTATTTGAGATCCCCAAATGAAAGTTACTGTTGTGTTTCTTAATACAGAATACTGTTATTTTCATAGTAGACCTTTCCATGTATATGATTTCTTCCTTTATAAAACTAAACAATCTGGGGCCAGGGATTTAGCTCAGGTGTAAGCGCCTACCTGGCAAGCATGAGATTATGAGTTCAGTCCCCGTCCCCCAAAAAAACCAAACAATCTCAAAATAAAACCCATTATGCTATATAATCATATCTAAAAATTATATCTAATTTTTTAAAATGCCAAAAATGTTAAATAAAATCAGTCATCAATAATATTTTTTTAAAATTTTAGCAATCATTCAAATTATAAAAGTAATTCATGCCAGATATGGTGGCACACTCCTATAATCCCAGCATTCAGGAGGCTGAGGCAGGAGAATTGCCATGAGTTCAAGGCCAATCTGAATACATAGTAATTCAAGACCAGTCTGAACTGCATAGCAAGACCTTGTCTCACAAAAAAAAAAAAAGTTCAAGGCCAGCCTTGTGATTTAGTAGAACCCTGACTCAAAATAAAAGGGGCTAGAGATGTTTCATGGTAGAGTTCCTCTGGTTCTGATCCTTAATATTACCAAACAAAAAGACCTAATTTGATGTTGATATGAGTCATTCTATACAAACTCTTTTACTAATTTTATTGCTTTCCATTTAAGAAAACTTCTTTAAACAGATAAGGCTCTAGTTTGCAATTTGAGGGGAAGGGCCTAGTGAACGTTATGAACAGAGATTGCCCCACACTCCTTACTGTGACAGTTTTTCTATGTATTGCCCCATCACTGTTCTAGTCTTTTGTTGTTTAAACTAAAGTAAGATTAAACTGTTTCTATTAAAATAATTATATTCTTAGCCAGTGTGGTGGCACATGCCTGTAATCCCAGCACTTGGGAGGCTGAGGCAGGAGGATTGCCATGAATTCTAGATCCACCTGGGCAACATGGTACATTCAAGACCAGACTGAACTACATAGTGAAATCCTGTCTCAAAAAAAAAAATTATATTCTTTCCAGTTTAGAATTCACGGTAAGTCACAGTATGGCCTCTAAATCCATAGACCTACCGTTTATAAAAAGTTATTATGGAGTACCATGCAGGTTTAGTCCTATTCACTGTAGTAAAAATCTGTTATAGGCAGTTACTTAGTAATTATTTCATAAGAGTCCAGAAAACAAGATCACCCTGCAAGTTTCATTTCTGTTTATAATTCTTTTATTTTCTCCTAGACTAATATACAATTATCCTCCTGGGTTGAAGAGGTACCACTGAACTATGATGTGTACTCACAAAGTGACATTGACAAAGAAGCTCTTGAACAAATTCATTTATATAAAATTCTCCAGCACTAAAATAGACCTCCCTAGTGTAATGTTTAGTTAAGTATATTACAAAATGAAAAAGAAGCCAATCATAGTGGCTTACACCTATAATCCCAGCACTTGGGAGGCTGAGGCAGGAGGTTCACTGTCAGGTCAAGGTCAGCCTTGGCAAAATAGTTCAAAGCCAGCCTGAACTGCAAGGCAAGACTCTGTCTCAAGGGAAAAAAGAAGAAAAAGAGAAGAAAAGAAAAAGAAACACCCCTAATATCCTAATACATATTTTTCTGTGTATTTCCTTTCAAACTTGGTGTATGTGACATTTGCAAATAGTTGTCTGTATACACACATATATATAGCTGTGTATGTCGCTATACAACTTTGTTCTGCATTGTGCAATAATAAAAATATTAACAATATTTTAAATTAAAATAGTTTATCTGATATTATTTTGTTTTCTCCTTTTTTCTGTTAAAAATATAGAGGTAGTCTGAAAGTGCCCTTTAGTGTGTGTCTTGGTTACTTTCTCTTGTTGCTGAGGCAAAAATACCTGACACCCAAAATTAAGGAAGGAAAGGTTTATGTAACTTACAGTTTGTGGAGGTTTCAGTCCATAAGCAACTGGCTCCATGGAAGGGTGGCATGGCACCAGGGCAGCCCTTCAAGGCAACAGCCAGCAAAAGCAGCCAGAACAAAAGAGGGCAAAGGAAGCCTCTTTTCCTTTATACAATACACAGGTCATCATCGCCTTCCCTCCCCTCCACCAGTGCTGGTGTAGCACTCATAAAATCTCTATGCCCTTCTCTCACAGATGAGGATATTTACAAAGTAAGAAGGCTGGCTTCCTGCTGAGTCTCTTAAACTTCTAAACTGCTCAGGTTGACAGAGCCTATCAACCATAACTGGGAGAAGACAGCAGGGGGGAAATGTGGATTATACTGTTTTTGTTATAAGAGTCCATGTACACAGCTTTTTGTGAAGAGGCTAAAATAGGACTAAAATTTTTTTAAATGGAGTTTCTAGAAAAAAATAAAACTAGAAAAATTATCCTTTAAAATTTATATAGAGGAGAAAGAAGCTAAGCCCCTGCCTGTGAGCTGATTAGAGCACAGAAAGGGGAGAACCAGGAAGGAAGGAAGGAAAGCCCTGACCTGTGAGCCAGCCAGAGCATAGAACAGAGGATGGAAGCTATGCCCCTGCCTGTGAGCCGACTGGAGTAAAAAAATAAATTTATATAGAGAATATATCTAAACTGGTATTTTTTCTTTAGTGTAAATTCATTTTTCCTTTTTTAAAATAATGACTATCTTCTGAAATTATGAAAAACAAAACTAGACAGGTATGGTTGGTGCACACCTGTAATCCCAGGAACATAGGTGGCTGAGGTAAAAGGATTGCTGTGAGTTCAAGGCCAGCCTGGGCTACATAAGCAAGTTCAAGGCCAGTTTGCACTAAATAGTAAGATCCTGTCTCAAAAAGAAAACAAACATTTTTTTCTTTTCTTAAAGAATGCAGTGGCCAGGCGTTGTGTACAGTCCTGTAATCCTACCAGCCTGGGAGGCTGAGGCAGGAAGACCACAAGTTCAAGCCCAGCCAGGACAACTTAGTAATTTAAGGAGATGCCGGCTCAAAGTAAAAAATTTTTACACAAAAACAGGCAGAGGGAATTGTAGCTCAGTGCAGAGGCCCTGGATTCAATCTCCAGTACCACCAAAAAGAAAAGCAATAATCAGAACTTGAACATTTAAGTAGTTATATTGTTCTCATATTTGATGTTATATTTAGATTATTTCCTAAAACTAACCTACATTTTGAAATTGCAGTACCAGGGCCAAAGGCCCAGCACCTGCCTGACACGCACAAGGTCATGAGTTCAATTCTCAGCACCCCCCACCAAAAAATTGCAGTACCTTTTGGAGATCTGTGTTTTGAAACAGATTTATGTAAACCAGGCACAATGGTGCACGCCTGTAGTCCCAGCTACTCCAGAGGTTGAGACGGGAGGATCACGAGCCTAAAAGTAGAAGACCAGGCAATCTGACTTCTTAAAAGGAAGCTTTTGGTCAGTAACTAAACAAAATGTCCAAAAAAAGAAAGACACATTTAGAACTCCATACAGACCATTTGTACTAATAAGTTAATACTTAGGACCTGTATAACATATAGAGAATAAATGCTAGAATACCAGTGCTTCCTGGTCCATATAAACTCTCTGGACTCCTGCCATGTCATTAAACACTTTCCATGTTAGTTTCCACTCTTCCCAAAAAGAAGATAAAGATATGAACAATTCCCAGCATCTCAGTAACAGTTAATGGATGTGTCCAGGAGATTGTCTAGGGCTTTTTTTTTTTTTTCTTTTAGATTTTTGTAAAAAAAAATTTATAGAAAAGAAGAAAATGAATCTTTTTTTTTTTTTTTTTTTTTTGGTACCAGAGATTGAACTCCTAACTTCCGCACTTGCAAGGCACTTATGCCACTGACCTAAATCCCTGGCCTGTGGAGCTGGGGATTTAGTTCAGTGGCATAAGCACCTGCCTTGCAAGTGTACGGTTGAGAGTTCGATCCCTGGTACCAATTAAATAAATAAATAAATCCCTGGCCTGAAGGAAGTAAACTTAAAATAGTTTGAATAGCTAGCTTGTTGGTAATATTTATGTGACTTGTTATACATATGTGTACATATGTAAATATATATATTATATATATATAATTTTTTTAAAGCAGGGTCTCACTGTGTAGTTCAGACTGACCTTAAACTTGTAGTGATCCTGCCTCAGCCTTTTGAGTGCTGGAATTATAGGCACGTACCACCACACCTGGCTGTTAAATTATAACTATATTTAGGTACTTACATTTCAAATGAACAGTGCTCCCTATAGCATGTATTGAGAGTATTACTGAAGATACCAATCATCATTGTCCCTGAAAACAAGGGCTTATTAGGAAAATGGCACAAAATTACAAAGTTAACCCTCACCACCATGCTGTTCTGAATGACATTTTCCTAAACGCTGCCCCTCAGAAACATCAAAGCAAAATGTGTTGCTTTAGCAGTAGGTGAATGGCCAAACCCCTTTCCAGGTACCTTAGGCGCTCGGAGAAGGAAGACCAGTAGAGAGCAGTCTACTTGTCAGCATGGTTTCAAGTCCCTCATCTGTAGAAACACACGATAATTTAGCCGCCTATTCCGTTCCATCTGTGGAATATAGTCAAGAGTGCAGGTTATAGATGATTTCCATAGATAAGTGGAAAAAAGGACAATGGTTTAAATACCATTATCACCGCTATGGTTTTACAAATATCAAACTGTTGATCTTTAGTTGATGGAATGGAAAAAAGATAAAATGTAAAGTATTGGCAACTGTTTTTTATGATTATGCTTAGCACTTTCTTGTGACAGGATTTCTCTGTGTAATTGGGGCTAGCCTCACTCCCAATTCTCCTGCCTCAGCCTCCCAAGTGCTGGGTTGACAGGTGTGTGTCGTCATGGCTAGCTTTAGCACATTTTTTAATAAATAGAAAAAAAGCAACTAGAATGCCAAGGAGATATTCTTACAGCAGTTTTAATATTCTGTATGTGGAATTATTCAACTTCCTATTTAAATGTCTAACTGTGGAGAAGTGTTTTTTCCCCACAGCTCCTCTAGCATTTGTTACTAGTTGTTTTCTTGATGATTAGCCATTCTTTCTGGAGTGACATGGAGCCTCAGCATTGTTTTTATTTGCAGTTGTCAAATGACCAGGATGTGGAACATTTTTTTCATAATATTTACTTGCCACTTGTACTCCTGTGAAGTGTCTATTCATCTCAGATGCCCCTTTTTAGATTAGGTCTCTGAATTTGGAGGGTCTGATTTTTTTTAGTTCTTCATATATTCTAGAGATTAGTCATTTTGTCTAAAGAACAACTGGCATAAATTTTTTCCCTCACTGTGGGTTAGGGAGTGATTGTTTCTTTTGCTGTTCAAAAGATTTTTAGTAAGATGAGATCCTAGTTCCTGACACTTTGTGATAGTTCCTGTGTGATTGGAGTTTTGTTTATAGTCTTTGCCTACACCTGTCTTCAAGTGGTCTACCTATTTTATCTTCCAGAAGATTTAGTGTTTCCTTTTTTTTTTTTTAATTGGTACTGGGGATCAAACCCACGACTGCATGCTTGCAAGGCAGGCGCTTATGCCACTGAGCTAAATCCCCAGCCCAGTGTTTCCATTTTGATAGTTAGACCTTTGATCCACTTCAATTTTACTTTAGTGCACGGTAATAAAAATGGGTCTAGTTTTAGTATTCAGCATGTGTAGAGCCAGTTTTTCCAGCACCATTTATTAATGAGGCTTTCTTTCTTCCAGTAAACATAGTTGGGCCCTGTGTCAAAGATCAGGTGGCTGAATGTGTTTGGAGTTGTTTCTGTATCTTTTTTTTTTTTTTTTTTTTTGTCTTTTTCGTTGGGATCGAACTCACGACTGCCTGCTTGCAAGGCAGGCGCTTATGCCGCTGAGCTAAATCCCCAGCCCCTGTTTCTGTATCTTTTAATCTGTAGGCTGGTGCAACCACTGTGGAAATCAGCATGGAGATTCCTCCAAAAACTAGGGTTAGAGGTCCCATTTAACTCCGCTATTCCCCTTCTGAGTATCTTCTCGGAAGAACTAAAACTATCACACTACAGCAATTTATAGTCACTCATGTTCATAGCGGCACAATTTGTAATAACGAAATCTTGGAAGTGACCCAAATGCTCGTCAACCAATGAATGGATAAAAAAGATGTGTTTTTAAATATAATGGAATATTAGCCATAAACAAAGGTGAAATTGATACATTAATAGCTAAATGGATGGACCTTGAGACCATAATTACCTGTGAAATAAATAGAGCACACATGTATAAATATCATATTATCTCTCTGGTGTAAGAAACTGAAAATGTAAATAGCAAAAATGTATAATAGTTACTGTGGAATAGGAAGAAACTGTTCAAAAGGAAAATGAAACTGGGGAAAGAGGAAGGAAAGGAAAGAAAAATATGAAAAAAGGATAAAATGAAAATACAGCTTTGTGACTAGGGAGAGGAAGAGGTTTGAAAGGAGGGGACTAGAATGAAAAAAAAAATCAAGATATATCATGTACAGTACAGGTTCCCTATCATGAGTGTGATCACTGTATACCTAAAGTGTACCAATGAACTTTTTTTTAAAAATTACATAATATGTACATGTATTGAAAAATTGCGTAGTACCTCAATAATTTGTGATTTTTATATACTTATGTATCAGTTAAAAATAAAAAGATATTTTTTAAACTGCATTGCTTGTCCAGAGACAGTTATCATCAATAAATCTGTAATTCCTCAGCATGACTTGAACAGCATGCAAGCTCAAGGCCAACCTGGCCTGCATAATCAGTTCCAGTTCAGCCTGAACTACATATTGAGACCCTTTCTCAAAAG